GAGTGTGGTAGAGTCTCCTTCTTTGGAGGTCTTTAAGCAGAGGCTTGACAACCATATGTCAGGAGTGCTCTGATGGTGTTTCCTGCTTGGCAGGGGGTTGGACTCGATGGCCCTTGTGGTCTCTTCCAACTCTATTATTCTATGATTTTCCTGCGTCACAGAAATTGAAGCAAAAAAGAAGGGAGGGGAATACAGTCGCCAGGAAAAAGAGAAGCACTCTCAAAGTCCCATAAGTCACAAAAATATCAAAAATGACGAAAGAGAACAGCCTCTGTCTTCTAAAAACTTTACCACTTAATCCATCCCTCCACCATAAAAAAATACAAGGCATATCAAAGGTGTTAGAGGCACTAGTTGTCTGTTACGCAGATCTTTTGAAATCGAAAGTAGAAAGTACAAAGGTCCATTCCCCACATTCCCAGAAATTTCACAAAAAAGACAGTCAAACCTTTTTTAATACCTCATCCCTCTTAGCGTTAATTAAAGGTCCATAAAAAAGATTTCTAATCGCCAAAGTAAAATCCGTTTTAATTAACTTACAGTTTTGTCCTGTTCTGTGAATCCCTCCTGTGTATACTTAGAATTCCAGGCGAGGCTGGCCTCCTTTTTCCCACCTCGTCCTCATCGAATTGTCTCCAATTGTTATTTTGATTTTTTAATCCTTTTAAATTCAAATTCTTAGTGTTTGAGAGCCGATCGCTTCTGCGCACAAGCTCGGGGCTTCGCTCCTGGAGGATAGTAATAGCTTCCCGCTGCCTGCCTTTCTACCCCGCCACTCCAAAGGAGGTTACCTCGCGGCCAGGGGAATCGCAAAATGGCTGTGCCAGGATCCTGCCCCCTGGATCTCTTTCCAGGGGTATTTGGGGGGGCTGCGGTGCCCTTGCAGCACCCCCTTTTTCCTCCCAAGAGCTGGATTCCCTCTCCAGAGAGAAATCCTGCTTGTCTTCACTCCCGCGATGATTTTTTTTATTAGTTTAAACAGATCTGAGGAGCCAAATTCTCTCTCTCTCTCCCCACTTTCCCTTCTGAGTTGATTCCTTCCCTGCTCCATGATTCTCATTCCCTGTCCCCACGCTATCTGTGTCTTAACTCTTTCCCATCTCCTCCTCTCACCCTCTCTATCCCGGACTTTCTGCAAAAAGGTCCTCCATCCTTACCAGGGGAAGGCAGCCATCTTGTTTCCCATCACCTGACTCACCCCCCGCACCTCTCAGGCCACTCACCGCTTCCTCTCCCAGGCAGCCATGATTGAGAAGGGCAAGTGCCAGGACAGCCAGAGGCTCTGCTGCCACCAGAAGCACAGAATCCTGCTGCTTGAGTTCCAAGTCTACAGAGAGCGGCTTTGCCGCCGCTTTGCCCCGTGCTGTAGGCTTGGGACTCGTGCATAGCTGTCAACTTACAGATTTGAAAATAAGGGACCAGCAGCCTTGAAAATAAGGGATCAGCAGACAAAATAAGGGATTTTCCTGGTACAGGTATGTTCGAGTTCTGAGCTCCTCCGAGCCAAAGGCAGAAAGCCCAGCCAGCAGCCAAATGAAGCCTCAAGCGGTGGTTCCCACATCGCAGCAATTCAGCAAAGGGGATGCAGCAAGGAAAACCACTGTCACGTCTCCGCTGGGAAGCATGGGAAGCACTGAGCAAAGGCGAGTCCCCAGGCAACGCGGCCGATTTGATCAGCACAAGGCATGCAAGCTCCACCCCCCAGTTGTTCTTAGACTCCTTATTGGGTGAGCAACGCTGCCAAGCAACACAGTTGGAGCCTCCCTCCTCTTTGGCAGGCAGGGAGGGAGTGAGAGGAGCTGCTTTCTTTGAAACCCGGGAAATTTAAGGGACATCATCAATAAGGGACAGCAGCGGGACACAGCACTGGGATAAGGGAGTTTCCTGCCAAATAAGGGACTGTTGACAGCTATGGACTCGAGTCGTGGGGGGGGGGGCGAATGTCACCCCTCTTCTGGATGACACCTGGGGCAGCCCCACCACCTTCATACACCCCTGCAGAGTTTCACTATGTACTGCATGGTGAAATACTTTCTTTTATTGGTCCCAAATTTTTAAACTTGCCCAAGTTTGTGTTCCTTACTGCTCTCTTCATTTGGACAAGACTTCAGTTTCTTGAAGGAAGTTTCCTTGCCTCTAATAGCTTCTTCCACGTTGTTTCTTATGCTTGTGTGCTCTTGCCCCTCATTGTACTTACCCTGGTTTGTGGTATAAATTCAAGTTGAGCTTCTAATATTGTATCTTTTAACAACTCCCAAGCATTTTGGAGTTATTTGACCCTCTTGAATTTGCCACAGTTCAAGAAGAAAATTGATGAGCTTAAATGTGTGCAGAAGAGGGTGACCGAGATAATCAAGGGTCTGGAAACCAAGCCATATGAGGAACTGTTGAGAGAGTTGAGTATGTTTAGCCTGAATAAGAGAATGACAGTAGATATGCTAGCCATCTTTAAATATCTAAATGGCTGTCACATGGAGGATGGTGTAAACTTGTTCTCTCCAGCTCTGGAGGGTAGGTCCAGAACCGATGGCTTGAAGTTACAAGGAAACAGATTCCTACTAAACATTAGGAAGTACTTTATGTTGGTAAGAGCTGTTTGACAGTGGAATGGACTCCTTCAAATGGTGATGAAGCCTCCTTCCTTGCAGGGAGTGCAAAAGCATGCAAAGGCAGGGCTTTGACACTCCAAACATCATGCTGATAACCTTCTGTCAGTTAAATGACAGGTGGCGTCATGAAACACCCCATGCTCCATATCTGCTTCAAGGAGGACGACTCAGTAGAGGGTCCCAGGAGGAGCTGGGGGGGTTGTGCCCCCTCCCGGAGTGATCAGGGAGAAGTTAACATGGAGGTGAGTGGGAGGAGTGCCCAGTGCAGACAAGGGACACATGAGTCACCTGTAGTGGATTAGGTGCAAGGTGTGTCAGGTGTGTCACCTTGCATTAGGTGCAAGGTGTGTCAGGTAGTGCTGAGCTTCCACGTGCAATGATGGGATCTTGGAACGGGACTGGAAAAGAGCCCCAATGCAGGGCTTTGACACTCCAACCATCAGTTGATGACCTCCTGATATATAGTGATTGACAGGTGGAGAGACACACCACTTGTTACATTTGGCCCACTGGGGATTGTGGAGGAAAGTATCTGACCTTTCCCCCCATCCATTTCATGAGGGAAAGGGACCCCTGTAATCCACACTGATTGCAGAAAACCTAAATTTCCTGGGATGTGCTGGAATCCATCCCATAAAATACTCTTCAACTCAGTTTGGAGAAGTCCTGCCTGCGTGGGGTGATGGAATTGGCTGGAGATATGGGATTCTGTGTCCCTGCCCGTGTTTGCAAGTGTGGGAGAGCAGGTTGAAGGGGGTATAGGGGTGTTTTTAGTCGGTGAGGCAATTCGGTGGTTATTGAGCGAGAATAATTTTATTTATTTTATTTATTTATTTATCAGGCTTTGTAAACCATATCAGAATTCCTCCTGATACAAGAAGTGGTATAAAAGTACGGGGGAGAGAATCATACCCACAAATCCTCACTAATCCAGCAGTTCAGATTGCAGGGTCAGGGGGGACTCTTGCTGCATTTGAAATATAACAAGTCATGGGGGAAATAAATTAACAACCCCCACTCTGCGCTTAAGGATAGAGTTGTATGACCAACATCTCGTGTCGTTGGAGAACCAATGAGGTGGTAAGAAAGATTAGGTACCATGGGGAACTAACCCCCTGTGCCAGGCAGAGTCTTGGGAATGAAGTTGAGTTCCAATGGACAGCAGAGGCTCAGTAGGCATGTGGGCAGCTCAAAACTATGTTTGCCTCCAAGGAGTACCTAGTCCATGCCACTCCTCACCAGCTGATGGTTGTAGAAACAGACGCTTCTGACAGGGTTGTGGGGGCAGTACTGCTGCAAGAGGACAGAAATGGCACTCTATGCCCTTTGCCTTCCACTCTAGCAAGTTGACTCCTGCGGAACAGAACTACACCAAATGGGAAAAGGACTTGTTGGCTATCAGACACCTTTGAAACTTGGTGACACTTCCCAGAGGGGGTACACCGACCAAAGGAACCAGGAATATTGCCAGATGACAAGACATCCCAATCAATGGCAGATTCCTTGGGCACAGTTTTTTTGGCAGGTTTAACTTTAGAGTACAGTATGTAGTGGGTAGTTGGACTCAACAGGCATATGCTCTCTCCACAAAGCTGGAGTATCAGGAGGAAGAGCCAGTTCCAGTATATCGGCACATCCTGAAGCCAGAACAGCTGCAGTTATCACCTGTGTCAGTCGCCAAAGTTTCTGAGTTCCAACAGAAGACAGGGAGGATGGCTATGCAAAGGAGCTTTGATGTAATGCAGGCGAAGCTGAGGGGTTTGAGGAAATGGATGGCCTTTTCTACAGTCATACCTTGGGTTGCGAACGTGATTTGTGTGGGAGGCACATTCGCAACCCGCAGTGTTCACAACCCGCAGTGCCGCGTCTGCGCACGAGCGTGACGTGATTTGGCACTTCTGTGATTTGGCTGAGTTTGCGTGGCAATTCCCGCCCCCTCCCACAGTTGGACTAATAAAAAGACCAGACACAGAATTAAGGTTAATGGGCGTAAATGGCCACAACTTTATTGATTACAGGTAAGAGCGGTATTGGCTTTAGGCATTGGCCCTAACAGACTATCCGGTCTAACCGGGAAGGGGTTAAACACCACCAGGGGGAGCCCCCGAGATGCACATCCCTAGGCGCTCCCCGAGGGGTTACCGCTCGGGGGTGCGCTTTAGGCCCTAGCCTCCACAGGTTTCGGACGAGGCGACGCCCCCTGGAGTCCTTTAACGAACTACCCTTCAAGATTTGGGGGAGGTGATGGCGTTCCTCCCTCCGACTTCATTTGCATAACAATACCCCTGCCAATGCCTAACCGCCACACGAGCCAGGCTCGCCGCCAATACCCTCAGACCTGTAACCAATCCCTGATCCCCTGAAAAATGTCAGCCAGCCAAATATCGTTACCAGCATCGGAGAGATGCACGCCATCCCCGCGGTAGAGTGCTTCCTTGCTGAATTGAATGCCTGGGTGCTCAATGACTCGCCCACCAATTGCAGCCACTCTACGCGCCACCGAGCGCTCCAAGATCCTTCTGGCTCTACTCACAGCCACGGGATTAGTGGCATCCCCCCAGCAGCGCCTTTCCAGCAAAGATGACCATATAATTGTAAGCTTTGGATAGGAGGCCCGCAGCTCCTCCAGGTCATTGAAAATGTTCCACATTAAGTCCACCCCCTTTCTGTAAGCCAGGTCGTTCTCGCCCAATTGGATGACGAGTGCCTTGGGTGGGCCCTGCGCTGCAATTTTATTTGATAAAGTTGGGAAAAATTCCTCCCAACGCATTCCCCGACGTGCTATCCAGGAAACTACAACATTGCTCAGGAGCTGGAGATCGCCGCCAAAGCCCCTGGCAACCGCCCGCATTCTTGCCCAGTGGACGATGCTGTGGCCAAAGATCCAGATACGTACAACACCGACACCTGAAAATAAGAGAGAGCAAGAGAGCCGGGTCAGGGTGGGGGCAGATGGAGGGAAGGGGAAGGAAGATTTAGTGAGATTTATGGATGTAACCCTTATATGCATTCGACTTCCACCGCCCTAAGTCCATTATCCTCTCTGCTGCTAAACCCATATGGACGGCAGTGGTGGCTGCCCCTATGTGGAAGGAGTGTGCCGCGTACTCCACTGGTGAGAGCCCGATGGCCGCGATTGCCTTGCGCATGACCCTCGTGAACTGGTGTTTCGTCAGGCGAGAACCATCTGCATGAATGAAAAAAGGGCCACTTGTTTTTGGTCTTAGGCATAGAAACTTTCTTGCGTCCTTAACTGGGCAAGGGCCGGCCTTCTGAGTAGCCTGCAGGCGGACTAGAGCCCCTCTGCCAAGCTGGTCGGTCTTTGAACTGCGGATTTTCAGGATTACCTCAGAGCTGGACAAGGATACATCCTCCAGGAGGAGCCCCCTGCTGTTACTAACCGTTTGGTCGTCACAAACCACCTCACCTATGCATAAGGCACCGAAGAATGCGAAGGAAAATGCTGTGGAAAATAACCTGGCCTCGTACCTGGACCAGCAGATGACCCTGAGCTTCGTACGTATTTGCATAAGTATGTCAAAAGTTATGGGCCTTCTGCTGTTGGAACTAGGGGGCTGAGATCTACGCCAGCCCCCCAGCATTTTCCGCACCACAAAGTGTGCGCAAGGGTCAACTGAGAACAGAGCTTTGGAGAAGAATGATATTGCTGCGGAATGAATATTGAGGGTTTTGGGGGCTCGACCTAGATCGCGCAGCCGTACGAGGTATTCTATAACCTCCGACTTAGTCGGGGGCCTGCCTGGTTTAAACTGCCCTTTCTTCTGGCGAAATAATGTGAAATCTGACCACGCCTTGTTATAGGATCTTAGGGTTGAGGGTGCCACTGCTGACAATACTCCCTTTATTGCTTCTTGTTGCCAATACTCCAAAGGTACTCCAGAAACGGTTGCGGCAGCTGCTGCGCATCTGGCGCCAATGAGCGAAAACGTTCCATTTGGAAACGAGACAGAGCATCCGCAATGTTGTTATCAATTCCCGGTACAAATTTGGCTGAAGCATATAGGTTAAGCGAAGGCAGGAAAGGACGAAATATCGTAACAGGGACGCCACTCTAGGGGAACGAGAAGACTGTTTATTCAGCACAGATACCACCGCTTGGTTGTCTGTCCAGAAACAGACCCTGCGATCTTTAAATCGCTCGGCCCAAAGATGAATTGCCACCACTATAGGGAAGAATTCTAGGAATGTTAGATCGCGAAGTATGGGTTTACCCTGCCATGAAGAGGGCCATCACTGAGCACACCACTGCCCTCTAAAGTAGACGCTGAAACCAAGGGAACCGGCAGCGTCTGAATGCACCTGGAAGTCGGCCTGCAGGGACATGCTATCTTGCCAAAGCGAAATTCCATTATAAACGTCTAAAAATTGGAGCCAGACCTGGAGATCTGACTTTACCGCCTTCGAAAGGCGCACCCTATGATGTGGAGACCTTAAGCCCACTGACAGCTTAGCCAGCCGACCGCAAAAGGGGCGCCCCGGGGAGACTACACGGCATGCGAAGTTGAGGTGACCCAAGAGTGATTGAATTTGCCTGAGCGTGATCTTTTTTAGTGGCAGAAGCTGTGAAATGAGGTCTTTTAGGGCAACCAACTTCTCAGTGGGCAGGCGGGAAGTTTGGGCAACTGTATCCAGCTCAATGCCCAGGTAAGTCATCGTTGTGACCGGACCCTCCGTCTTCTCATTTGCTAAGGGAACGCCGAGCTCCTCAGCCAAGGACTTGAAGGCCTGTGACAAGGCCAAGCAGTCCTTTGCCTTACTTGCAACCAGGATAAAGTCATCCAAATAATGTCCCACCCCTTCAGAACCAGTTTTAAATTTCAGTGCCCATTCAAGGAAGGTGCTGAAAGTCTCGAAGGCGGCACAGGCGATCGAGTACCCCATGGGCATTGCTTTGTCAATGAAGTAAGAACCCTGGAATTTAAATCCTAGCCAGCGATAATCCTCCAGATGAACCTGAAGGAGGCGAATTGCGGATTCGATGTCACATTTGGCCAGGAACGCACCCCTACCGAAGCCCCTGACCAACTTCACTGCCTGATCAAAAGATGCGTACAGTGGTGCCTCGCAAGACGAAATTAATTCGTTCCGCGAATTTTTTCGTCTAGCGAATTTTTCGTCTTGCGAATCACGAATTCCCATAGGAATGCATTGAAAATCAATTAATGCGTTCCTATGGTCAAAAAAAGTCCAAACAAAGCCAAATTTGGTACAACAAGAGTTTATTAAGTGCTCTTTAAAGTCACACATACTGTAAAAAGCATTTCAAAAATTGAAGGAACAATAATTTAAGTTTCTAAACATGACAGAAAAACATTTTAAAATCAACAAAGTGTACAGTACATTTTCTAAGACTCTGGGGGACAACTCGAAGAAGGTTCCTCTTCCACTCTTTGTTTCTTGCTGAAGAACCTGTCCATGGTCTGCTGCTTCATCCGCCTTTTCAGCACCTCCCTGAAATGCGACATGACCCTCGTATCAAAAGTGTTCACAAGGTCATGTGCCACGTGCTTGTCAGGGTGGTGCCGCTGTGCAAAAGCCTGCACATCCTTCCACTTCAGGCAAATGTCCCTCAGTTCTTTGGAGGACAGCCATTCCTCAGTTGAACCAGCGGGGGCACCCCGGTTTCCCTGATGGAGGTGACCCCTTCCGCCTCAAAAGGGCTGCTGTTTATTCTTGTAGCAGTTAACAGCCGGGTGGTTGCCTAAACACTTATCACATTCATGCAAGTACTTACAGGATGTGCGCTGGCAGGCCCCCTTATTGAAATCCCAGCATTGTCTATGACGTTTTGTGTCCACCTTACTGGATTTGGCTTGGTCATGTGTTTTCTTTTCGATGTTAGGCCCCACGTGCTCCATCCAGTAGTTATTGTCCCTCTGATCCCAGCACGTGGAGGACAGCAGCGAGGCATTCCTACGAAAGTCCTCGTCGTATGCGATGGCAGCCTCGTCTCCCGCTAATTCCCGAGCCCTCCTCACGTGCGCCAGATAAGATGCAAGGTGCAAACCACGTTTTGGGTAACATCCTACCACTATTCCCATGAAGACCTGGTAGCCATTGAGCCAGTTCTCAAATGTGCGCTCCGCGCACGGAGACCTATATCTTTTCTTACCATAATACCGCTTTTTCTCTCCTTTTCCCTTTATTTGTGCCGGTGGTAGCAAAGTGAACATGTCTATAAAATCCCCATTCAGTTTCTTATCCCTTTTTCTCTTAGAAAGGTGATTACCCAGGATAAAGTCAGTGGAAGAGTGAGTTGAGACTTTTACATCTTCCACCAACGCCCCATCTTTCCATTCAAGGGTACCATTAAATGTTTTGCGATGTGAGTTGGCCCGCCTCTCATGTACCCACAAAGGAACACCGGTCTGTTCGCCCTCACCCAAATAAGTCTCCATGGGAGCATCACTATCGCCCTCTGAAGAAGAGGTACCTGTGTCATCGTCGGAGTCTGATGGGTCGCTTCGCCTGCTCTTCTTGGACACATGTTTCTTCTTCGCCTTCCGCTTTCTTCCACGGGTACTGTTGTCTTGTGGTGCTGGATCGTTGTCGGATGGAGTTGCCTGCTGCAACGGTAACTCCTCATCCGAAGAAGACCCTTCCGAAGGACTTGGCTGGGCCGGAGAATCCTGAAAAACACTAGGTACGCCAATTCCCTGCTGGCTAGAATTAGTGGTGGACCACGGTGCTTTGGACTTATGCACAGTGGCCTTAGACTTTTGGGCCCTGGACCTACCCTTCCTCGCAGTAACCTTGGACTTCTGTGCCTGTGCGGTTTGCGAACGTGTTTGGGGCCGATTGCACTGACCCACACCGTGATGCAACGTGCTCGCCGAGGCTGAGGAGGGTCCTGCCTGGCCCTGTTGGCTGGGGAGACGTGTCTGGAATGCAATCCTGAGAAACTTCCACAATATTGGGATTCGCGCTCACTGGAGGGCTGCATTGCACATAAAAGTTTTGGATTGCTGAAAAAAGTTGAGCTAAGGCCTGAGGATTGCAGGGTGCAACGGGTACTAGCGCACCACCCACTTGTGGTAACTGGGGGTTGCCCCTGTTAGCCATGCTATCGATCTACGTGTTATGTATGAATGTATGCGTGTATGTATGTATGTAAAAGCCGGAAGGACCCTATTTAATTATCTGCAAAAGAGCGTATGCTCTATGTCATTAATTACTATTGCAGATATTAGTATTGTTTTTTTGTTTTTAATTTAATTTATTTTATTATTATAATTTATTATTATTATTAATTGTTATCTATGTGTATCTCTATATCTCTATAGGCAACTATTCTTAATTAATAAACTATTATTACTAGTATCCAGATGTAAAACTAATTTATTCGCCTACTATTTATATGTTTATTAATAAATGTATACCATGAACTCCCCTACGATGGAACCCTTTGTAGTAATATCGCAGATTAAGTGAAACTGCTGGAAGCAAGCCCCCTAAAATTCAAGCATCAGATTCCGGAATAATAAACTAGCAAGGGCCTGTAGCAACAACACGGTTAAGCGTTCCCAACCCGAGCGCCAAACTGTTAGCAGTAGCTCCAAGAGAATTATTAAATAAAAGCAGCAAGGGAGTTATAAGTAAATGAGAAATACTGTTCCTTGTAGCCCTAATTAAATATATATACAGGCAGCAAACTGAACTGAAAGGGGGGGCTGAAAGCAGAATGAATTAAAATTGGTAGGTATTTCCTGCGCCACTTGTTGTTGTTGTTTAGTCGTTTAGTCGTGTCCGACTCTTCGTGACCCCATGGACCAGAGCACGCCAGGCACTCCTGTCTTCCACCGCCTCCCGCAGTTTGGTCAGGCTCATACCTGCAGCCTCGAGAACACTATCCAACCATCTCATCCTCTGTCGTCCCCTTCTCCTTGTGCCCTCCATCTTTCCCAACATCAGGGTCTTTTCCAGGGAGTCTTCTCTTCTCATGAGGTGGCCAAAGTATTGGAGCCTCAGCTTCACGATCTGTCCTTCCAGTGAGCACTCAGGTCTGATTTCCTTAAGAATGGATGCGTTTGATCTTCTTGCAGTCCATGGGACTCTCAAGAGTCTCCTCCAGCACCATAATTCAAAAGCATCAATTCTTCGGCGATCAGCCTTCTTTATGGTCCAGCTCTCACTTCCATACATCACTACTGGGAAAACCATGGCTTTAACTATACGGACCTTGGTTGGTAAGGTGATGTCTCTACTTTTTAAGATGTTGTCTAGATTTGCCATCGCCTTTCTCCCAAGAAGCAGGCGTCTTTTAATTTCGTGACTGCTGTCACCATCTGCAGTGATCATGGAGCCCAAGAAAATAAAATCTCTCACTGCCTCCATTTCTTCCCCTTCTATTTGCCAGGAGGTGATGGGACCAGTGGCCATGATCTTCGTTTTTTTGATGTTGAGCTTCAGACCATATTTTGTGCTCTCCTCTTTCACCCTCATTAAAAGGTTCTTTAATTCCTCCTCACTTTCTGCCATCAAGGTTGTGTCATCTGCATATCTGAGGTTGTTGATATTTCTTCCGGCGATCTTAATTCCGGCTTGGGATTCATCCAGCCCAGCCTTTCGCATGATGAATTCTGCATATAAGTTAAATAAGCAGGGGGACAATATACATCCTTGTCGTACTCCTTTCCCAATTTTGAACCAATCAGTTGTTCCATATCCAGTTCTAACTGTAGCTTCTTGTCCCACATAGAGATTTCTCAGGAGACAGATGAGGTGATCAGGCACTCCCATTTCTTTAAGAACTTGCCATAGTTTGCTGTGGTTGACACAGTCAAAGGCTTTTGCATAGTCAATGAAGCAGAAGTAGATGTCTTTCTGGAACTCTCTAGCTTTCTCCATAATCCAGCGCATGTTTGCAATTTGGTCTCTGGTTCCTCTGCCTCTTCTAAATCCAGTTAAAGACTACAAAATAAACTTAAAGCGGAACGTTTCGGTTGCCCCGCGACCGATCACTAAATTTGCCTAAGCAACCGTGGAAGCGTGGTGCCGGAAGTGGTGGTACAACAGCCGCTGCACCCGCTGAAATAAGCAAAGGAAAAGACTTTTCCCAGCAAAAGAACCCTATGTCCTATTTTTGATGCAATGTAGCGGCCGGTAACCCGAGGACCTAGTTGTGCCTCACCTAAAATGGCGACTGGGGAGACCACGTGGTCTGCTCAAAATGGCGCCTGCCCTCCTTTGTTCCCAAGGCGACCAGCTCAAACAAGGAAAACAAAGTTTAAAGAAAAGGCAACCAACAAGTAACTCACACAAGGCAACCAACTCAAACAAGGAAATCGAAGTTTAAAGAAAAGGCAACCAACAAGTAACTCAGCCAAATAAATCGCAAAAAGGAAACAATGCACCTGAACTGTTCTAAATGCAATCTGTTCCGACCCTGGACGCAGCTCAGAGGATACCCCTGGGGAGCGGGCGCCGCGAGCAGCCACCCAAAGACAGCGTGCGTAGCGGAGGACAGTTTAAATACTCACCGCTGACTCCCGACCGATAAAGGAATAAAGCAGCCCTCGCCACAAACCGATGTTGCAAAAACAAACCTTTGTGTGCCCTGACGCAGCCCAAGCGCTGCTGTTTGAGGGTCGCAGGAAGCAATATGCGGCAGTGGAGGCTCTGCCGATCTAGCGCTGTTGTAGATCCCTGCGGCTCAAGAGGGTGTCCGCTCGGCGGAGGCTGCTTGTCGGCCGTGTGCACCCAGCTCCCCATGTGGTATTCAACAAGAGCTTGCTAGCCGGTGAATCAGGAAGGAAGGGGGGTGAGGGCTGGAAGCGCTGCGCGCCTCTCAAGAGCGGCTTTAGCGCACCAGCAAGTAAGGGGGAGAAATAAGCTGCGGGGAAGAAAGCCCTCTCAGCGGAAGCGAAATAAAAAACGAAGCAATGCAAAAGAAAATCCAAACCGCAGCTAAAAAACCGCAGCTGCTGTGAGAAGGAAAAGGGGCGAGCCGGGGCTGCCCTGACCTTAAGAGCCCCTGGTAAGCCCGCCCCCTAGCGCCAGCCGATTGGCTGGCGCCGAGGGAGATGAATATTGATGAGAGAGGGGGAATCCCTGAGTCCCGCGGGGCTGACGCCAGCCCCGCGAGATTGTAGTTGGGGGCGTGAGCCCCGCAACCCCACCCCCTCCTGATATCGGTAGTGGCTTTGCGTACAACAATGCCCTTCACGCAGCAGACTCCCTTTTTGTTCGTCACAGGCACCATCCACACACCTTTCCTTTGAAGACGGAGAATCTATCAGCAGTGGCGTAGCGTGGGTTGTCAGCACCCGGGGCAAGGCAAGTAATTTGCGCCCCCTAACCCGTGGATTTGCGCCCCCTAACCCGTGGATTTGCGCCCCCTAACCCCCAGATGTTGCGCCCGGCCCCCCCTGCACCCCCCACGCTACGCCACTGGAGGGACTCCCAAGAAGGTGAAGCGGGACTTCACCCCAGGGTATCTCGGAAGCCCTCGAGGCAGCGACGCTTCCACCCCCTGGAAACAGCAGGAAGGGAGCCCGCTCTTGTGCCCCGGTCCTGCTTTGAGTGCTTCTCATTGACGCGTCTGCTTGGCCACTCACTCTACATGGGCCCTTGTGGCCTTGATCCAGTAGCCGGGTCCTTCTTTGGAAAGAGCGAGCGCCTCCCTCCGCCCCCGCCACACGGAGCTCAGCCTGCACGTGGGCAGGCCCTTTGCGTCACGTGCGCTTGGCGCGCTGCTCTCTCCAGCTTCCTCCCGGCCGGGCCAGCGGCTCCACCTCTTTTCCTTTGCCTTTGAGCCGCTTAATTCCCAGCAAGCAATTAGCAGGCTCGCTCCACCTCCTCCTCCTCCCGGCTTTGCTGCTGCTGCTGCGAGGCTCTTTTCCTCCACCGACGGCGCGCTGCGCCTTGGAGAGGTTCCCGCTTCCTCGAGGGGGGCCGGCCAAACGCGCCCCCAAAAATGTTGCGCCCGGTGCGGCCGGCACCCCTGGCACCCCCCTCGCTACGCCACTATCAGTACCAGCAGTGGAAGAGTTTGTTGACGAAATGGCCGCTATGCATAGTTTGCTGCAAGAACGCTTGGATTTGGTGAAAGAGTCATACAAAAGGCATCAGATGCCTATAGACACCCAGGTAGAGAGGCAAAAGTAGGGAACAAGGTGTGGCTGTGCACACCAGGTTTGCCCAAGAAAGGTAGATGTAGGAAATTGGATCCTCAGAGGGTGGGGCAATTTGAAGGAATAGAACAGATTTGATGGACAGATTACTTATCTGATAAAGGGGCCCTGGATGCTTAAGCCTAGTCAACCTTAACAATGGGGTGCAGTGCTCAGCTCGCTTTTCAGGCTAAGGAAGCCGGCGTTTGTCCGCAGAGAGCTTTCTGGGTCATGTGCCCAACATGACTAGACCGCTTCTGGCACAACAGAACACAGTGACGGAAGCCAGAGCGCACGGAAATGTCATTTACCTTCCCACCGCAGCAGTACCTATTTATCTACTCGTGCAGGTGTGCGTTCACATTGCTAGGTTCGCAGAAGCAGGGACGGAGCAACAGGAACTCATCCTGTCATACAGATTCAAACTGCCAAGCTTCTGATTGACAAGCCCAAAGAGGTTCAGTGGTTTAGACCACAGTGCCACCTTCTATCCGCAACTTGTGGCTACTCCAAAAGTGAACCTTTTCCCATTCCTGGTGTGCTGATGCTCATAAAAACAAAGTCTTTATGAATTAATTCTAAAGAATTTCTTGTGTGCAGGAGAATTGATGCCTCTTTCTCAGGTTAAGAAAAAAGTTCTAGAAATCAGATGGTGAGTTTTGGTACACCATTAATTAAAACTCTGCCAATGCAAAATAACATTTCCTAATTTACTGAGCAAACAGAACAAAAGCAGCGTATAATTTGAGGAGAAAGAGACATAGAGGTTGTGGTCATTCTTAAGCCAGCACTTGCACTGGGGAGGGAGACACGCAAGCAAACATACAGTGGAAAAATTCCCTTTGTACTAAGCAGCCAAGCAGACCATGTGCTACCTCCGTGAAGATCATACCTGGTTTGTTTCCTTTTTTATTCAACAAAATTTCAATAGCTCTTGATTGCAGTAAAACCTTTAAGGGTGTGTGTGTGTGTGTGTGTGTGTGTGTTTGTATTCATTAGAAACCAGTTGAAAAGAATTTTTAAAAAGCATTTAAAATGTCTGGATAGGCTGGCCTAAGGAATGCAATGCCTCCACCACCACCATCTCGGTTTACTGACTTTACTCATAACAGAGTTAACCCTTAAATTACACACTGAATGAACTCTGCTGCAAACCTCTGACATTTTCCGCAATCACACATCTCTCTGCCAGGCGAGCAGGAGGCATGATCACAATTCAAGGACAGAAATGACACATTTAAGAAAAAATATACAAAGGAGCGAAGTGCCGTGCAATGCCCTCTTTATTAATTATGTGAAAACAAAACATCAATCGAAGTTTTTTTTAAGATTTTCTCCTCTTGCCACAATAGATTGCTTATACTTTAGAAATTAAATTACTTTGCTTATACATTAGAAATCATACTTTAGATTGCTTATACTTTAGAAATTGCATTACACTTGTGTTATATGTGATTATAGCAAAGAGTGCCAAGGCCGAAAAGAAATGAAAACATCAAAGTTATTAATAGCCTTTTCCATCATTCTGGTAATCAATCAATCAATCAATCAATACTTTGATCATTGGTTACACAACAGAAATTAAAACAAAGAATGTTTCATTATTTGCAGTTATATTAAGGATAGTTTCCTATGTAGGATTGTACAGTAAGGAGTGTGTAGATTGCTTGATGTCATACAGATTCTGTTAAGCTCCTTTTTCCACCACTATTGTAATGTGTAGGTTCAAGTTATGTGGTTATGGCTATGCATGTTCTTTCCCTGAAATGGGCTCCAATTCAACCCCTTCCAGAGACTTTTGGGATGGGGGGCAGAGTGGACTTGTGCATGAAATCAAGACTTCCTGCCCAACCCCCAATCCCCCTCCCTAAAAACCTGGAGCTGAACCGAATCCATAAGCATCAAGGTCCTCAGATATGTTGGTGGGTGGGGTCCAAAGGAACTGATTTTTAGATCAAACTGGGATTCTGCATTCTGGCTTGAGGTGCCAAGAAGGAAGATCTGCAATGAGGACTACTCTGTTGCACTGGCTCCTTGTCTTATGTGGCTTCACTGAACGATGGCACGTTTTCCTGCATACCTGTCTGAAGCAGCAGACCCTATTTGTAGAAAGAAGAGAGGTTAAGGCCTCACTGCTGCAGAAGTGGCTTTCTACCCTCCCTACATTGATTTGCTTATCAGTAACTTTCCTTGAACATCTTTTCAATTTGCTTCAGGAGGGTCAGTGTGGTAGGTGGGGGGGGCGGGGACTGCTCATCATTTTCCTTGGGCTGTATCCAATGCTATGGGCAGGAATGGGCTAAAGCCTCAGGACGAATGAGGCACAGGACTCCATAACCTCAATCAACCTTCACCTCACCTGCCAGCTTCTTAATTACAACAGACCCAAGGGGTCAGTCAGCTCCCTTCCTCTCATCTTTTGCCCTTGCAGAACTCATCTCTGTAGAGGAAGGCTTCTGCCTGTAATTGGCTCTGGAACTACTTACCCATCGCCATGGGTCCAACAAATGAAATATGCTCCCCCACCCCCACCCCTCAATCATATGCTGTTCAAATGATCATGAAATCATAGAACCGTACAGTTGGGACACAATGGGTCATCTTGTCTAAACTCCTACAATGCAGGCATGTAGCAAGTCACTTGGAGATCTCTTTTTTTCCTAACAAGCAATGAATAAAATTAATTAAACTATCACCATCATGTGTGCTTTTCTCATAGGGTGACCCAAAGTGGAGTACATTAAAAGGAACCTGGAAGATCCAATTTAAAGTAAAAATACAGCTTCCCAGATCCCTCCCCACTGAAACAGGTCACAGTGCCACCCTTAAGAAGCCAAATGTTTCTGCCTGGCACCAAAAAACAGGTAAAGATTATGCCTCCTTCGGGAGAGCATTCCACATGGTGGTGGGGGAGAGTCACTCCTGAAAAAGCTCAAAGAAGAGATCTCAGAATTTATTGAAGAAGCCAAACTGATTTTCACCAGGACTACGGATTATTTATTGGGAGTTCCAAAAAATAATACACAGGGGTTCAACATGTGGAGCCATATGTGACTCCTGCTATTCCTACTTAGAGCATGTCTGTTGGGTTGTTTCCAATGATAGTCAAAACCACTGCTAACCCTGTGCAGGTGCGGCCTTAGAGACCAAAAAACAGGTAAAGACGGCCAGACGTGCCTCCTGGGGAGAGCATTCCACACATGGGGGTGGGGGAGAGACACTCCTGAGAAAGCCCAAGCAAGAGATCTCTTTTTTTTTCTAGAAAAAGCCAAACTGATTTTCACCAGGACCATGGATAATTTATTGGGTGTTCCAAAAAAAATACATGTGGAGCCATACATGACTCCTGTTATTCCAACTTAGAATATGTCCATTGGGTTGTATCCAATGATAGTCAAAGCCATAGCTAACCCTGTGCAGGTGTGGCCTTAGAGTATTGAGCATGCTCAGAAGAGCTGCCTGGCCAATCAGGAAGTAAACCCGTTTAACGCAAATAGTTGGTTGAATAATGGCCATTTGCCCTGATAAAATAAAAATAAGATCACACAAACACACACACACACAGACACACACAGACACACACACACACACACACACACACACACAACATTTAGTGTTACACCTACTAATTTCTGTTTCCGTCCTTATCCATCTTGGGCTCATCTGCACCCATGCTACCTGCACTGTTGGCTCCAGAGCCTCCCGATGCGCTCCTGCTGCTGCCCTTGGTGTTACCGGAGGACGTATGGCGCTTCAAGATGTGCTGGACATTGGCCTGGTAAAATTTAAAAATAGTTTACTTGTTTTCCCGTCTAGAGATTCTTCATCCCTTCCTCCATGTCCTTTGTTTTCTGCCCCTCTAATACCTTTTGAGGGGGCTCAGAGTCTGAATGCAGTTAAAAATAAATAAATGCTAGGCATTTCTCTTGGTAGGGCTAAGCCCTGGTTGCCCTCTTGGACCAGCCTCCACAGTAAGCACCATTACTCAAGACATGGTGGTAGCTTCCAAGTGTCAAGACCTTCTCCCACCCACTGCTTTCAGTGTTAATTCTACTCACATCATCTAGGACGCCAGCCTGGTCCTCAATGTGACTCTCCTTGTTGGCCAAAATTCTTGTAGCACAAACCAGGATCATTACAGCTAGCAGGATAGACCATTTCATGATGGCTCAGAATCAGGGTGTCTCCCTTTGGTCAGCAGAGAGGAATAGAAGTGAGGAAGAGTTGCCTCTTGTCTTGGCTCTGCTCGAGATGGTGCTCTCTGCTTTCTTTATATAACCCTTTTTAGGCTCTGTTGGGTGATAAGATCTATCTCTGGACGAAAACAAAGTGAAGCTTGGAAGAGCAACTAGCTTTTTATGATGGCATGGAGAACACTAAGCTCCTTGCCAGGGTTGAGTGGACTTCCTTCATTCTCCTTCCTTGACTGTTCTGCTGGTTCATTCCGCTCTGGGTCTCACCCTTCCCGCATTTGACCATTCCTGATCCCACTGCTGAAATGGAATCACGCACCATTAAGAACATAAGAAGAACTCTGCAGCACCAGGCCAGAATCCCACCTAGTCCAACATCCTGTTCTCAAGACCAAAGAGCAGGATCTGAGCACAAGAGCCCCCTCCCCTCCTGAGCTTTCCAGTAACCAGTATTGCTGCCTCCAACTGTGGTGGCAGAGCATAGCCACTTTTTCTAGTAGTCATCAATAGCCCTCTCTTCCTCCATGAATTTGTCTAAACCTCTTTTATATCAATCTACGTTGGTGGCCATCATTGTCTCTTACTGGAGCAAGTCCCATAGTTTCACTATGTGCCTCTTGGTGAAATACTTTCTTTTATTGGCCCAAATCTTTCAACTTGCCCGAGTTTGTGTTCCTTACTGCTCTCTACCTTTGGACCCTGGTTTGCTGTATAAACACAAGTTGAGGATCTAATATTGTATCTTTAAACAATTCCCAAGCATTTTGGAGTTATTTGACCCTCTTGAATTTGCATTTCTGCCCTTTTCCCCAACCTCCTCATTTTAAGGAACTTTCCCCTTTTTAAATCAGATGAAATCTGTTGATGGTGGTGGTGACCTGGCTCGCCAGTACAACATGTGAAAAGGATCTAGGGGTCTTGGTAGACAACAAGCGAAACATGAGCCAAGAGTGTGACGAAACAGCAAAAAAGAAGCTAATGCTATCCTAGGCTGCATCAACAGAAGTATAGTGTGCAGTTGAAGGGAAGTAATAGTACCATTTTATTCTGCCTTGGTCAGACCACACTTGAAGTATTGTGTCTTATTATGGGTGCCACAGTTGAAGAAGAGTATTGATGAACACGGAGGTGAGTGGGAGGAGTGCCCAGTGCAGACAAGGGACACATGAGTCACCTGTACAAGGTGTGTCAGGTAGTGCTGGGCCTCCATTTGCAATGATGGGATCTTGGAAAGGGACTGGAAAAGAGCCCCAATGCAGGGCTTTGACAATCCAACCATCAGTTTATGACCTTCTGATATGCAGTGGTACCTTGCATTACACACACTTCTGGTTACATATGCTTCAGGTTACAGACTCCGCTAATCCAGAAATAGTACCTCGGGTTAAGAACTTTGCTTCAGGATGAGAACAGAAATCGTGTGGTGGCACAGCAGCAGCAGGAGGCCCCATTAGCCAAAGTAGTATCTCAGGTTAAGAACAGTTTCAGGTTAAGAACAGACCTCCAGAACAAATTAAGTTCTTAACCCGAGGTAACACTGTAAGTTGATTGACAGGTGGGCAGACACACCACTTATTACATTTGGCCCACCGGGGATTGTGGAGAAAAGTATCTGACCTTTCCCCCCACCCATTTCATCACTGGCGTAGCGTGGGTTGTCAGCAAGTAATTTGCGCCCCCTAACCCTAACCCCCAGATGTTGCGCCCGGTGCGGCCGGCCCCCCCTGCACCCCCCACGCTACGCCACTGCATTTCATGAGGGAAGCAGACCCCTTTAATCCCCATTGATTGCAGAAAACCTAAATTTCCTGGGATGTGCTTGAATCCATCCCATAAAACACTCTTCCACTCAGTCTGGAGAAGTCCTGCCTCTGAATGGAGGGATGGAATTGGATGGGGATGTGGGATACTGTGTCCCTGCCCGTGTGTGCAAGTGTGGGAGAGCAGGTTGTAGCGGGTATAGGGGTGTTTTTAGTGGGTGAGTATTTCAGTGCCTATTCAGTGAAAAAAATCTTGTTCTATGGTTGTTGATGTTTCATGTCTTCTATATACTGTAGTTTTTGATGTATTTATTTGGCAGTCTTTGTAAACCGCATCAGAATCCCTCCTGATACAAAAAGTGGTATAAAAGTACTGGGGGAAGAATCGTACCCACGAATCCTCACTAATCCAGCAGTTCAGATTGCAGGGTCAGGGGGCACTCTTGCTGCATTTCAAATATTACAAGACATGGGGAAATGAATTAACAACCCCCACCCTGCACTTAAGGATGGAGTTGCATGACCAACGTCTCATGCTGTTGGAGAACCAATGTGGTGGTGAGAAATGTTAGGTACCATGGGGAAATAATCCCCTGTGCCCGGAAGAGTCTTGGGAATAAAGTTGAATTGGCTGTACCTACAAATGAGGCATGCATCTGCTGAGGAGGTCCTGTTCCCAACAGCAATGCAATTTAACAGATGAACCATAACGCAGGTAAAATTAATGGTCAGGGTGAGCTTGGCCCGTTAGGGACAATCTGGGGCATTTATTACTAAAGTCATTGCAGCCTCATTAGGCCAAGAATGGTGCATGTTCCTTGGTATGTGGTGCAAAACGAACTGAACTGGAAAGTGTGCCCACTTTGTAGTAAAGAAAGGGCATTAAACAGAGCTCACAACACATTTTCTTCTTCCTTATCATGAGACAGAGGAGCAGAGGCTATACTGAATGAGAGCACATAGTATCTGCATCTGGCTACATGTGGCTCCTTGATGCTCCTGGCCTCCTCATGGCCCTGCCTCTGCTGCTGCCAACGTACTTTGCCCCTCAGGCATCCTTGCTTGCTTCTCTGGCGCTGGATGTGAAGAGACTTGAGAGTGAACAAACTGTCAGGTCTACCGGCGGACAACAAAGCTTCCAATAAGAAGTAATGAGTCTCTGGCAGGTTTTAGCCATTTATTTACAACAACACAGAGAGAGAGGTATTGTGCCAAACTCTCTCAAAGGAACCAGTTGTTCACTCTAAATCTCCTCCTCCTCTGCAACAGGAAGTGCACCAATTCTCCGATCTCCATACTCCTTGCTTCCATTGCACCTTAACCCTTTTGTACCTCCTAGTCTGAGGGGAGGGAAGGAGATCCCCCCATGCTCTCAAAAGAAGAGCCTTCCAAACAACCCTCCTGGTTGCTCAGCAACTATCTTGGAGCTTTCTATTTCCTCCTCCTACTGAGAGTCTTCTGCATTTACAGTTCTCTCTGCTGGGGGTGTGAAAGAAAGGAAGGTTATTCCCTTCTCCCTCTGATAAAGGCTGCTCTGTCTGATAAATACTGTTGCATGACATTCACGGGTAAATATTGGGGCCATGAGTGATGCCCCCATGCCCTGCTGCATTGGCTTTTGCTGGTATTTAAATAGCTACACTTGAGACAAGGATATTACACCACGTGGAGTCTTTGACTGAGCAGGCTTCTTCATATGTCCCAAAAGAGTCAGAGGAGCAAAGGGGAGGGTCAAGGGCAGGAGCCCTCCTTCACTCCAAGGTCCTTACCCATCCACTGTCTACATGCTCACATTCAATATGGCCTCTGCTCCTCTGTCTCATGATAAGAAAGAAGAAAATATGTTCTGAGATCTGCTGAATGTCCTCTCTTTGCTACAAAGCAGACACGCTTTCCAGTTCATTTAAGCACCACATGACAAGGAACATGCACCATTCTTGGCCTAATGAGGCTGCAATGACTTTCGTAATCAACACTCCAGATCGTCCCCATCTGGCCAAGTTCACCCTGACCATTAATTTTACCTGTGTTATGCTTCATCTGTTAAATTGCATTGCTTTTTAGAACAGGACCTCCTCAGCAGATTCCATGCCTCATTCATTCCCAAGACTTCCGGGCACAGGGGGTTACTTCCCCATGGTACCTAACGTTTCCCACCTCATTGGTTCTCCAACAGCATGAGACGTTGGTCATGCAACTCCATCCTTAAGTGCAGGGTGGGGGTTGCTAATTCATTTCCCCCCTGACTAGTTATATTTGAAATCCAGCAAGAGTGCCCCCTGACCCTGCAATCTGAACTGCCAGATTAGTGAGGATTTGTGGGTATGATTCTCTCCCCCCCCCCCTGAACTTTTATACCTCTTTTTGTATCAGGAGGGATTCTGATGCGGTTTACAAAGACTGGCAAATAAATAAATCAAATACTACAGCATATAGAAGACATGAAACATCAACAACCATAGAACAAGATTCTTCTCACTGAATAGTCACTGAAATACTCACCCACTAAAAACACCCCTATACCCCCTTCAGCCTGCTATCCCACACTTGCAAACATGGGCAGGGACAGAGTCTCCCACATCCCCATCCAATTCCATCCCTCCATTCAGAGGCAGGACTTCTCCAGACTGAGTGGAAGAGTGTTTTGTGGGATGGATTCAAGCACACCCCAGGAAATTTAGGTTTTCGGCAATCAATGTGGATTAAAGGGGTCTGTTTCCCTCATGAAATGGGTGGGGAAAGAAGGTCAGATATTTTTCTCCACATTCCTCAGTGGTCCAAATGTAATAAGTGGTGGGTCTGCCCACCTGTCAATCACCATATACCAGGAGGTCATCAACTGATGGTTGGAGTGTCAAAGCCCTGCATTGGGGCTCTTTTCCAGCCCCTTTCCAAGATCCCTTCATTGCCCGTGGAAGCTCAGCACTACCTGACACACCTTGCTCCTAATGCGCTACAGGTGACTCATGTGTCCCTTGTCTGAACTGGACACTAGCATATGGCTATCATATCTCCTGTCATTCTCTTATCCAGGCTAAACATACCCAACTCCCCCAACAGTTCCTCATATGGCTTGGTTTCCAGACCCTTGATTATCTTGGTCACCCTCCTCTGCACACATTCCAGCTCATCAATATTCTTCTTCAACTGTGGCACCCATAACAAGACACAATACTTCACGTGTGGTCTGACCAAGGCAGAATAAAATGGTACTATTACTTCCCTTCAACTGCACACTATACTTCTGTTGATGCAGCCTAGGATAGCATTAGCTTCTTTTTTGCTGTTTCGTCACACTCTTGGCTCATGTTTCGCTTGTTGTCTACCAAGACCCCTAGATCCTTTTCACATGTTGTACTGGCAAGCCAGGTCACCACCACCATCAACAGATTTCATCTGATTTAAAAAGGGGAAAGTTCCTTAAAATGAGGCGGTTGGGGAAAAGGGCAGAAAGGCAAATTCAAGAGGGTCAAATAACTCCAAAATGCTTGGGAATTGTTTAAAGATACAATATTAGATCCTCAACTTGTGTTTATACAGCAAACCAGGGTCCAAAGGTAGAGAGCAGTAAGGAACACAAAGTCGGGCAAGTTGAAAGATTTTGGACCAATAAAAGAAAGTATTTCACCAAGAGGCACATAGTGAAACTATGGGACTTGCTCCAGTAAGAGACAATGACGGCCACCAACGTAGATTGATATAAAAGAGGTTTAGACAAATTCATGGAGGAAGAGAGGGCTATTGATGGCTACTAGAAAAAGTGGCTATGCTCTGCCACCACAGTTGGAGGCAGCAATACTGGTTACTGGAAAGCTCAGGAGGGGAGGGGGCTCTTGTGCTCAGATCCTGCTCTTTGGTCTTGAGAACAGGATGTTGGACTAGGTGGGATTCTGGCCTGGTGCTGCAGAGTTCTTCTTATGTTCTTAATGGCGCATGATTCCATTTCAGCAGTGGGATCAGGAATGGTCAAATTCGGGAAGGGTGAGACCCAGAGCGGAATGAACCAGCAGAACAGTCAAGGAAGGAGAATGAAGGAAGTCCACTCAGCCCTGGCAAGGAGCTTAGTGTTCTCCATGCCATCATAAAAAGCTAGTTGCTCTTCCAAGCTTCACTTTGTTTTGGTCCAGAGATAGATCTTATCACCCAACAGAGCCTAAAAAGGGTTATATAAAGAAAGCAGAGAGCACCATCTCGAGCAGAGCCAAGACAAGAGGCAACTCTTCCTCACTTCTATTCCTCTCTGCTGACCAAAGGGAGACACCCTGATTCTGAGCCATCATGAAATGGTCTATCCTGCTAGCTGTAATGATCCTGGTTTGTGCTACAAGAATTTTGGCTAACGAGGAGAGCCACATTGAGGACCAGGCTGGCGTCCTAGATGATGTGAGTAGAATTAACACTGAAAGCAGTGGGTGGGAGAAGGTCTTGACACTTGGAAGCTACCACCAGGTCTTCAGTAATGGTGCTTTCTGTGGAGGCTGGTCCAAGAGGGCAACCAGGGCTTAGCCCTACCAAGAGAAATGCCCAGCATTTATTTATTTTTAACTGCATTCAGACTCTGAGCCCCCTCAAAAGGTATTCGAGGGGCAGAAAACAAAGGACATGGAGGAAGGGATGAAGAATCTCTAGACGGGAAAACAAGTAAACTATTTTTAAATTTTACCAGGCCAATGTCCAGCACATCTTGAAGCGCCATACGTCCTCCGGTAACACCAAGGGCAGCAGCAGGAGCGCATCGGGAGGCTCTGGAGCCAACAGTGCAGGCAGCATGGGTGCAGATGAGCCCAAGATGGATAAGGACGGAAACAGAAATTAGTAGGTGTAACACTAAATGTTGTGTGTGTGTGTGTGTGTGTGTGTGTGTGTGTGTGTGTGTTTGTGTGATCTTATTTTTATTTTATCAGGGCAAATGGCCATTATTCAACCAACTATTTGCGTTAAACGGGTTTACTTCCTGATTGGCCAGGCAGCTCTTCTGAGCATGCTCAGTACTCTGGCCACACCTGCACAGGGTTAGCTATGGTTTTGACTATCATTGGATACAACCCAATGGACATATTCTAAGTTGGAATAACAGGAGTCATGTATGGCTCCACGTGTATTTTTTTTGGAACACCCAATAAATTATCCATGGTCCTGGTGAAAATCTGTTTGGCTTTTTCTAAAAAAAATATGAGATCTCTTGCTTGGGCTTTCTCAGGAGTGTCTCTCCCCCACCCCCATGTGTGGAATGCTCTCTCCAGGAGGCACGTCTGGCCATCTTTACCTGTTTTTTGGTCTCTAAGGCCGCACCTGTACAGGGTTAGCAGTGGTTTTGACTATCATTGGAAACAACCAAACAGACATGCTCTAAGTAGGAATAGCAGGAGTCACATATGGCTCCACATGTTGAACCCCTGTGTATTATTTTTTGGAACTCCCAATAAATAATCCGCAGTCTTGGTGAAAATCAGTTTGGCTTCTTCAATAAATTCTGAGATCTCTTCTTTGAGCTTTTTCAGGAGTGACTCTCCCCCACCACCATGTGGAATGCTCTCCCGAAGGAGGCATAATCTTTACCTGTTTTTTGGTGCCAGGCAGAAACATTTGGCTTCTTAAGGGTGGCACTGTGACCTGTTTCAGTGGGGAGGGATCTGGGAAGCTGTATTTTTACTTTAAATTGGATCTTCCAGGTTCCTTTTAATGTACTCCACTTTGGGTCACCCTATGAGAAAAGCACACATGATGGTGATAGTTTAATTAATTTTATTCATTGCTAGTTAGGAAAAAAAGAGATCTCCAAGTGACTTGCTACATGCCTGCATTGTAGGAGTTTAGACGAGATGACCCATTCTGTCCCAACTGTACGGTTCTATGATTTCATGATCATTTGAACAGCATATGATTAAGGGGTGGGGGAGCCTATTTCATTTGTTGGACCCATGGCGATGGGTAAGTAGTTCCAGAGCCAATTACAGGCAGAAGCCTTCCTCTACAGAGATGAGTTCTGCAAGGGCAAAAGATGAGAGGAAGGGAACTCACTGACCTTTTGGGTCTGTTGTAATTAAGAAGCTGGCAGGTGAGGTGAAGGTTGATTGAGGTTATGGAGTCCTGTGCCTCATTCGGTCTGAGGCTTTAGCCGATTCCTGCCCATAGCATTGGATACAGCCCAAGGAAAACGATGAGCAGTCCCCGCCCCCCCCCACATCTACCATACTGACCTTCCTGAAGCAAATTGAAAAGATGTTCAAGGAAAGTTACTGATAAGCAAATCAATGTAGGGAGGGTAGAAAGCCACTTCTGCAGCAGTGAGGCCTTAACCTCTCTTCTTTCTACAAATAGGGTCTGCTGCTTCAGACAGGTATGCAGGAAAACGTGCCATCATTCAGTGAAGCCACATAAGACAAGGAGCCAGTGCAACAGAGTAGTCCTCATTGCAGATCTTCCTTCGTGGCACCTCAAGCCAGAATGCAGAATCCCAGTTTGATCTAAAAATCAGTTCCTTTGGACCCCACCCACCAACATATCTGAGGACCTTGATGCTTATGGATTCGGTTCAGCTCCAGGTTTTTAGGGAGGGGGATTGGGGGTTGGGCAGGAAGTCTTGATTTCATGCACAAGTCCACTCTGCCCCCCATCCCAAAAAGCTCTGGAAGGGGTTGAATTAGAGCCCATTTCAGGGAAAGAACATGCATAGCCATAACCACATAACTTGAACCTACACATTACAATAGTGGTGGAAAGAGGAGCTTAACAGAATCTGTATGACATCAAGCAATCTACACACTCTTTACTGTACAATCCTACATAGGAAACTATCCTTAATATAACTGCAAATAATGAAACATTCTTTGTTTTAATTTCTGTTGTGTAACCAATGATCAAAGTATTGATTGATTGATTACCAGAATGATGGAAAAGGCTATTAATAACTTTGATGTTTTCATTTCTTTTCGGCCTTGGCACTCTTTGCTATAATCACATATAACACAAGTGTAATGCAATTTCTAAAGTATAAGCAATCTAAAGTATGATTTCTAATGTATAAGCAAAGTAATTTAATTTCTAAAGTATAAGCAATCTATTGTGGCAAGAGGAGAAAATCTTAAAAAAAACTTCGATTGATGTTTTGTTTTCACATAATTAATAAAGAGAGCATTGCACGGCACTTCGCTCCTTTGTATATTTTTTCTTAAATGTGTCATTTCTGTCCTTGAATTGTGATCATGCCTCCTGCTCGCCTGGCAGAGAGATGTGTGATTGCGGAAAATGTCAGAGGTTTGCAGCAGAGTTCATTCAGTGTGTAATTTAAGGGTTAACTCTGTTATGAGTAAAGTCAGTAAACCGAGATGGTGGTGGTGGAGGCATTGCATTCCTTAGGCCAGCCTATCCAGACATTTTAAATGCTTTTTAAAAATTCTTTTCAACTGGTTTCTAATGAATACAAACACACACACACACACACACCCTTAAAGGTTTTACTGCAATCAAGAGCTATTGAAATTTTGTTGAATAAAAAAGGAAACAAACCAGGTATGATCTTCATGGAGGTAGCACATGGTCTGCTTGGCTGCTTAGTACAAAGGGAATTTTTCCACTGTATGTTTGCTTGCGTGTCTCCCTCCCCAGTGCAAGTGCTGGCTTAAGAATGACCACAACCTCTATGTCTCTTTCTCCTCAAATTTAACACGGCTTTTGTTCTGTTTGCTCAGTAAAACTCTCCATTGGCAGAGTTTTAATTAATGGTGTGCCAAAACCCACCATCTGATTTCTAGAACCTGTTTCTTCCCCTGAGAAAGAGGCATCAATTCTCCTGCACACGAGAAATTCTTTAGAATTAATTCATAAGGACTTCATTTTTATGAACAACAGCATACCAGCAGAAAAGCAATTTTTTATTACATAGTAGGCAGGTACTAGGGACGGGTGGCGCTGTGGGTTAAAGCCTCAGCGCCTAGGACTTGCCGATCGAAAGGTCGGCGGTTCGAATCCCCGTGGCGGGGTGCGCTCCCGTCGCTCGGTCCCAGCGCCTGCCAACCTAGCAGTTCGAAAGCACCCCCGGGTACAAGTAGATAAATAGGGACCCTTGCGGGCGGGAAGGTAAACTGCGTTTCTGTGTGCTGCGCTGGCTCGCCACATGCAGCTTTGTCACGCTGGCCACGTGACCCGGTAGTGTCTCCGGACAGCGCTGGCCCCCGGCCTCTTGAGTGAGATGGGCGCACAACCCTAGAGTCTGTCAAGACTGGCCCGTACGGGCAGGGGTACCTTTACCTTTACCTAGGCAGGTACTGCCTTTCCCTGTACTGACAAGGGAAAAACAAGAGGATGTGGTGAGGGGTTTTGAGGATGAGCAGGAAGTTGGAGAGGCATTAGTTGGCAACACCTCTCTCTCCAGGCGAAAGGATTCCTCTCAGATGACCAGTGAACACCTTTTGCCATGTTAACAGATTTGCGCTTTGCTAGGCCATCCAGGCTGGTTTGCGTAAGGTAGCCCTGGGATTCCTTGTCTGACACAGTTCTGCAGTTTGTACTTTCATCCATATCCCAGTTCATCAAAATCCTACCATTTATCAGTTTCTAGGGTTTAGGGGGTTCCCCCCAAATCTATAGAAATATGTTCCTGAATATGCAGCATCCCCTGAATTGACCTGATGCTTTGCAAGGGTCACCAACCAACCTGAAAATACCTGGCCCAGAAGTATCCTGAGCAGTAAAGTCTAGCTGCTCATTCACCAAGGAATTGGTCCATTCTAGGGAGTCATAGAATCATAGACTTGGAATAGACCACAAGGGCCATTGAGTCCAACCCCCTGCCAAGCAGGAAACACCATCAGAGCACTCCTGACATATGGTTGTCAAGCCTCTGCTTAAAGACCTCCAAGAAGGAGACTCCACCACACTCCTTGGCAGCAAATCCCACTGTCAAACAGCTCTTACTGTCAGGAAGTTCTTCCTAATGTTTAGGTGGAATCTTCTTTCTTGTAGTCTGGATCCATTGCTCCGTGTCCGCTTCTCTGGAGCAGCAGAAAACAACCTTTCTCCCTCCTCTATATGACATCCTTTTATATATTTGAACATGGCTATCATATCACCCCTTAACCTCCTCTTCTCCAGGCTAAACATGCCCAGCTCCCTTAGCCGTTCCTCATAAGTCATTGTTTCCAGGCCTTTGACCATTTTGGTTGCCCTCCTCTGGACACGTTCCAGTTTGTCAGTGTCCTTCTTGAACTGTGGTGCCCAGAACTGGACACAGTACTCCAGGTGAGGTCTGACCAGAGCAGAATACAGTGGCACTATTACTTCCCTTGATCTAGATGCTATACTCCTATTGATGCAGCCCAGAATTGCATTGGCTCCACCCTGAAGCCCCCTTTCTCCCTGACAGCAAGGGAGCTATCCTTGTGGGAGTGGGACAAAGCTAGAACACTCCCGGAGGCCTCATCCACCAACCTCTCTGCCTCCCATTAGTTACCTTGGCCTCAAGGGAAATAATGCAGAATAATAGCTAAAGGAGCTGAAAGCCAAGACCAAAAAGCCCAATGAAGAGATATATGAACCTTTTCCTCAATTTTGCCTTTTAGTCTGCTCTCATTTTAACTTGCTCCTCCCGTTATTTCTCTCCTTTGAATCCTTTCTTTCCCTTTGTCAAATAAAGCATTTTTCTTTCTTCCCTGCACTGCCCATTACTCTATTTCCTGAATTGTCTGCATAGGTGCCAACTATGCAAGGTCCTAAATTTCCTGGGGTGTGCTTGAATCCATCTCACAAAACACTCTTCCACTCAGTCTGGAGAAGTCCTGCCTCTGAATGGAGGGATGGAATTGGATGGGGATGTGGGAGACTCTGTCCCTGCCCATGTTTGCAAGTGTGGGAGAGCAGGTTGAAGGGGGTATAGGGGTGTTTTTAGTGGGTGAGTATTTCAGTGACTATTCAGTGAGAAGAATCTTGTTCTACAGTTGTTGATGTTTCATGTCTTCTATATGCTGTAGTATTTGATTTATTTATTTGCCAGTCTTTGTAAACCGCATCAGAATCCCTTCTGATACAAAAAGAGGTATAAAGTTCAGGGGGGGGGAGAGAATCATACCCACAAATCCTCACTAATCTGGCAGTTCAGATTGCAGGGTCAGGGGGCACTCTTGCTGCATTTCAAATATAACTAGTCAGGGGGGAAATGAATTAGCAACCCCCACCCTGCACTTAAGGATGGGGTTGCATGACCAACGTCTCATGCTGTTGGAGAACCAATGAGGTGGTGAGAAATGTTAGGTACCATGGGGAAATAATCCCCTGTGCCCAGAAGAGTCTTGGGAATGAAGTTGAATTGCTTGTACCTACAAATGAGGCATGGAATCTGCTGAGGTGGTCCTGTTCCCAACAGCAATGCAATTTAACAGATGAACCATAATGCAGGTAAAATTAGTGGTCAGGGTGAGCTTGGCCCGTCAGGGACAATCTGGGGCATTTATTACTAAAGTCATTGCAGCCTCATTAGGCCAAGAATGGTGCATGTTCCTTGGTATGTGGTGCAAAACGAACTGAACTTGTCCACGGCAAAGCAGGAATATGCAGCTGTCTCATATATGGGGATCGAACCTGCAACCTTGGCATTACCAGCACCACGCTCTAGCCAACTGAGCTAACTAGGCTTGTCTCAAATGTGCTCTGGATGAGATCAGATAGTCAGAAATACTAAAAGAGAAGGGAGTTTCTTAAAGGTGAAGTATTGAAGGCACAAATGGAGACAATCAGGTGTGTTGCCTTGCCCCCACAACAGTGGGTGCCTCGGGCAAGGTGATGTTACTGTGGCATGCGTCCATGCGTGCGTGATGTTGGCATGTCCCGCAGCGTGCTGACATCAATTGCACACCCTGTGGACCATGTACACACCATGCAATAGAATATTGGGGGTGTCCCCTTCATTTAAAATTTGTGGGTGCCCAGGCACCCAGGACCTTGCATAGTTGGCACCTATGCAGACAATTCAGGAAATAGAGTAATGGGCAGTGCAGGGAAGAAAGAAAAATGCTTTATTTGACAAAGGGAAAGAAAGGATTCAAAGGAGAGAAATAACGGGAGGAGCAAGTTAAAATGAGAGCAGACTAAAAGGCAAAATTGAGGAAAAGGTTCATATATCTCTTCATTGGGCTTTTTGGTCTTGGCTTTCAGCTCCTTTAGCTATTATTCTGCATTATTTCCCTTGAGGCCAAGGTAACTAATGGGAGGCAGAGAGGTTGGTGGATGAGGCTGTGGGAGTCATAAAGCCATGGCAGAGGTTTGTAAATACTGCAGGGTACCTCCGGACCTCGTGACCAGCACTCTGAGCTTTACAAGGTATTGGAATGCATTGACCTTATAAGGAGTTATGTTCCCTCCCCCTCTGGGCAGTGTAACCCTATATCGTTTGTGGGTGGGGAAAAGCTTGACCGGATGAGGTAACGTGAGACATTGGAATGCAGCCATGCGGCTGGACAGAACAAAGGATAATAAAAAGTGATCGGAGGAGAGGAGAAGTCTCAATGAGCTCTCTCTCTTATTATGGAATATTACTCGCTCTCTATGTCTTTATTTTATATTAAAGAAATGCCACTTGTAACGGCTGGCCCGACAAGTGGTGCCCCGTGTGAGGCAAACTTAAAAGTGTGAGGCAAACTTAAAAGTGTGAGGCTACTTAAAGAAAAGAAGCAACTTAAGCAAACAGTCTGAGGCAGACTAAGAGGATTCTAACAGAAACTGTGAGAGGATTTTTGATCCAAGCAGTGAATATCATCGGCTCACTACGTCCGGCAAGGATTGCAAAGCGCTTTACATCTTTAAAAAAAGATCCCGGTGAGTCCGATCCCTTTTCTTCTTTTTTATATTGATTTTAGAGACATGGGTAGCTCCCTATCTTCTCCACAACAGAAATTTTTAAGAGACTTAAAATTTCTCCTCTCCTCCAACAAATTGGAAGTTCCAGAGGGTGATTTGATACAGCTTATTCTGGCTATTGATGAACATTCTCCCTGGGACTTGGGTGTAATTGCAAATGGAACTTGGGAAATAAAACATTGGGACAAGATTGGTGAACATTTTCATGGGCTCCCCAGCAGTAGTGCTCGGATTTTAAATGCTTGGTGCAAGGTTCGATATGCTATGGG